ATAATTAATGTCGTTAATGAATTAAAGATCACGGGTTAAAGAAAGCCAACGCCGCTGACTGGCTGGCTGGCTCTCGTCGAATATTGGCTGCATCTTCCAACCTCGACGCCGTGTATCGATTCCGTCGCGCCTCGTACTTTCAATCCGTAGGACAAATATGTTCGCAGAAAGTATTAATCGTTCTCACTAACGAGCTCTCTCTCTCTCTCTATGTCGAACGTGCGTGTATCTCGACGTTCGATGTAATCGACGTATAACTAGAGGCACGTGCGGTAACGGCGCGTAACATTTAATAAATCTGGTGAGGCTGTGTCTTATCAGAGACACAGTGGTGTGTTAAAGCGGGTGGCAAAGGCGTTAGATAAGGCACCATCGTTGATTGGATCGCCGCCAGAAATCGATACCTCAGCCCCGTTCCCCACCGGGTGTCTCTCTCTCTCTCTCTCTCTTTCTTCCTCTCTCTCTCCTTCTTCGTTTCACCTGCTGGCAACCGTCTTCTTCCACCGCTTCCATCGTCTCTCTTTTCTCCGCGTTCCTCCTCCTGGCCACCGCCGTGGCTGCCTCCAATTTCCCCGTGACGGGCTCCTGGAGGATTCTCGAGTGCCCTCTCATCGCCCTCTGGGCCATCCAACCGAGCTCTGTCCGGCAGTCTCCATGCCAACACCCGCTCGATAAATTTATTGGTCGCCTCTGACACGAGTGCTTCTGCATACTTCTTTCCTCGTCCCATCGACGAGCCTCGTCTTCGTCTTATAACGCCTTCTTCCTCTTCCTCCTCGTATACAAAGTTCGCGCAGCTACGAATATTTTCTTGGCCGATGCTCGACTCTTGCATTTTTGGCCTCGTCGGGAGCCACTCGACTTTTCCTCGCTCGGTTACTATATTTTAATTTTGGAACCGGGTTCATTCGTAGCCTACGTCTTACATCCGGTCGAAGAGTAGATATATTTGGTACGCGCGCGGCTAGAAAAGTGCAATTAAACGAGCAGCGAATTACCGGTCGCGTAGCTGGTATCGGATCTCGAAGGGGTGGATGGGGCTCGAATCAATCCGGCTCCCCCTTAGCGAAATTGTAAATAAATTAGGAGTTGCGCGATCGCGACAGTCAACACGTTACTCGCGCCCGACCGAACGTACGCCCACCCCCCTGTTTCAACCCCTGTGGCCCGGTGCGCTGGTCCCCGCTGCGTGGCGCCACACACGGTTCGTGCGTTTTCCAGCAGCTCGCGTATGCGCGAAACGAGCGAACCGGGAACCAACATGGTGGGCGTGCGAGCGAGCGAGGCTACGGCCAGGGGTGGGTTCCGTGAGGGTAGATGACGGGTGGAGCACACGGACGAGGGACGAACACACCGACGTTGCGTTTATTAACGCATGTTGCACGGTGGGGTTTGCTGGCACAGCATCGGCAACCAGCCAGGCAGGGTCAAGTGTTTCTCTGCGTTCTCCTTCGATCTTCGCCCTTTCTCGCTCCATCGTCCTCCCTCGTGCGCCCACCCTTAGCCAACCGAACCCCTTTCCCTCGCTCGCCTCTCTCCACCGAGGGTTCAACCGAGAAATACTCGGAAAACGGGCGGACGATGCGACTCGCTTCTTTATCAAGCCGGCGACTCCATCGAGTCGTCCAGGATTTCGATAGCAAATCGTTTTCTCTGTAATTCCCCACTGTTCAGATTCTACCTGTGGAAACTGTGATAATAGCGGGCAAAACGCGAAACCGCATAATTATTTCGTCGATGATTTTAGTAATAATTATGGAAAATCCTCGTATCTCTCGAGTCGATAAATCAGTGTTGCAATATTCATTAAAATATTTGGAAAACGCATGGACCGTCAGCAGCAGCAACATTCGTTCGCGCAGAATGAGAGGGAAACTCGAAATTTCCTCTCGAACGAATTACCGCGAGCAAAGGACGGAACGAAGAAAGTAAAAGTCGTCGATGGCAGGGGTAAACGCGTCTCGTCTCTCGTTTCGTTCCGGTTCGTCGTCGTGGCGCTGTAAGGGCGTTCGAGGGCCTCTGCTACTGGCGACTATAAGAGAAAACGAAAAGGGAGGCTGAAAACGTCGAGCCTCGTTTCTTGGTCTCCAGGCAAAGGCGAGAATGAAGAAGTAGAAAGGGACGAGGAGGAAAGAACGGACGAGAGGAGAAGTAAGAAGTGGGTGAAGTCGCGAGAAAAAAAGGAAGGGTGGTGATTGCGGCGAGGAATTACCGGTTCGTTGGCTAACTGGCTTCATAGAAGAAAAACCTCTTTATATCTCACGCGCACGCACGTAAGCTGGCAGCGTGACTGAAAAACGCGGCTTTAAGCCTCGAGTTTCATCGAACACACCCGGTAGCACGAGTGGTGCACGGAACAAAGCCACCGGAAATCGCCCGAGTGGTACTCCGGCCTGCCTGGCCTGGCGCCATCTTGTACACAGCTACCAGTCGCGATAGGGAACCACCGTTCTCTCATTGTTCTTGTCGTCAGGTAGCTGCGCCGCGTTCAAATGAAATCCAAAAACCGTCCACCTCGTTCTTCCACAAAAATCGCGGATCCAACGTTAAAGACGATCCATCGTCTGTAGACTCGTCGAGCGTGCATGCGCGTCAACCTTGACCGGTCGACACTCTTTTTTTATTTTAAATATCGAAATCGCTATCCGTTCTTCTTACGCAAACATTATTCCTCTCTGGCAGCGGTCCCTTCAGTCTTATGTGTTTAGGTGGGTGTAGGTAAACATTGTATAGCACGTGTAAGTAAAAGGTAAGCTAAATAAGCCTCTTCTCCTTCCACCTCTTCCCCGTTCCGTTCTTTTCTCGCTCTCCTCTTTTTTCCGTGCTCGGATACACGCCAGCAGGAGCGTGCACGAAGTGTCTCTTAGCCAGCACTGGTGCCTTTTCATTCGAGTTAGTCGGTTGGTCTCGCCTCTCGAGGAAAGCGGAGGCTAAAGGGTTTCGATTTCCGTGCCCGCGGCCGCACGAGTCTTTTTCGCTTTGACCCGGGCCAGAAGAAATTTCTACGCGCCTCGCCTTTAATTTCTAATACTTCGGACGGAAACGCGATCCCCCTCTGATCCTTCTACCATGAAAATCGTCTCTACTCGCTTTACCGAAACGTCTCGTCGCCGCCTAGCATCAAGCTCCATCGGACCTTTTTCAGATTGAAATTCGTTAATAATCTATACGCCATTGCACCGCGAATCGATAGCTTTAGATTTAATTAGAGTCGCGGTCGGGAAAAATTGATTCGGCTGCGCGGTGAAATGAACGATTAATTACAAAATGAAAGCATTGCCTGGTCGTCGCGAGCCTCGCGAAATTATATTGGAAAGCGACCGTTTCGGAGGAGAAAGAGAGAGAGAGGATAGGGTGATACGGAGGCAGTATACGCGTTGTGTGTTGCCTATCCGCCATGGGTATTGGATTGGATTGGATCGCCGCGTCAGCAATACAAACACTCGAAGCCGCTCGATGTGGGTCGGCCTCTCCCGTTCCTGTTTCAAACTGAAATTACACTTTCCCGTCCCTCCACCCGGAGTCCCATTTTTCTCTCCGCGTTATCGTTTTTCGCTCGTCATTGTTGCCAGTCGTAGATTTTTCCGAAAATTCCCCGCTAAAACCGTTCACCGTTTCCACCGCGAGAGAAAGCCTAGCCTGAAATCCTCGCGAAGATGAAACCGCTCTTTCGTGAGAGAAAGCGGCACGGAGGAACGACGTATACCCACGCGCCTAGGTAGAACGCGTCTAATTAAATACCTGAGCGTGCTAACAATTTCGATCGCAGGGATAGGGTTGAGCGGTCAGCCAGGGGTGGCTGCGTGCGTGCCGGTCGGTTGCTATTATCATAAACGCAACAATAACGAGGGATGATCCGACGTGTAAACTGTTAAAACCCTGCTCCCGCCCCCTCGTTCCTTTTTTCGGCGAGGGCGAGGATTACCCGTGGGGGTTTCTCCTGTTCCCGGGGCTGGAATCCACGGGAGATGTTATTGTTGCCGCAGAGAGCGAGAGAACCCGTACGAAATAGAGACAGTGTAGTAAACGCTGGAGCAGAAATCCACGGGACCATCCACCCCATTCGACCCTCGATAATATTGACGATGTTTGCCGCCTCCCATTACGAGCTCGATTGAACCAAACTATACGATTATCATGCGTCACTGATAGTCTCTCCAACCCGATGAGAAACGGGGATCGCTTCTTGGAACAGCGAGACTACCTTCGAGGTAGCTGTTCAGTATGAAGATCAATTTTCATTCTTTGGCCAGATACGCGGTCGATGCTCGCGCGTGGAATACATGAATAAAAAATCCTCGCGACTTCGTTACTGCGTTCGCTGGCAGGGACAGCATGCGACGAGCATGGTAGCTCATAATCAATTCAATTAAAATTGATTTCCACTCGTCACGGTACATCAAACAGAACGGGCCTGGTCTTCGTATCCTCTTTCAACTCGTCGTTCTTGTTACTCTCCCTGGTAGAGATGCTCTGCCCGCGCAAAAAGCATGATCCTGCGATTCGACTCGAGTTATAAATATTCAGCGCGCATAGTTAGAAAAGAGGAACGTTTTGTTCTTTTGTCAGCGTCGTCATTACATCCAGTCGCGTTCGCGTGGGCGTGCGAGTCCTGGGGTCGTTCTAACGACGGTATATCCTGCGTACGGTACGACGGTGCACTCGCCACGCGGCACGTTGCCCTTTCGAAAATCCGTTATTAGCATCGAGCTCCATTATGACGTTTCGCGATGCTGACAAACACTCTCTGCCTTCCGTCGACGTGGCTCCGCGCACGTTTACATATTATTCGAGGGTACACGCGACACGCGCCGCCACGCTCCAATCCACCCTCGTTCACCTACGACCTACGCGTCGCTACCTATTGCCTTCTTCTTTGTCTCGTTGATCACGATAGGACTCGGTAGTTGACCGACAGGTTCATACACCTAAGAATTTTAGAAAGGAATTTATAGAGAATCAAGGAATTTAGAATCGTTCGTTTGATTCGATTGTTCCAGGTTATCAGAGCACTGGTTACCATCAAGGAGGATATGAGAGCGCCGGGTCTAGCCAGGCTATGGTGCCCGGACCGTGGTCAAGAGGATATGGCATGCCTCAAAGTTATCAACATTACCCGGAATACCAGCAGAGGAACAATTACAGCGCCCAACCGTACGGACGTAATTACCAGAATGTGCAGTACGGTAGCTACGGGTCGCAGTACGATCAGCATAGGGTAAGAATTCATTTCTAATATTCTTACATTGAAAAACTTTCGTTGGAGTTAAAAATTCGCATAATTAAATACAACAGGGATTCAAAAATGTTGATAATTGGAAATCAATAAGGTTTTCTCTCTCTCGCATCAAGAAAATAACTCTTATAAGGAGCTGATTGAAAATTCTCACAATTGGGTGTCTGTAAAATATAGAAAATTTCTGAAATTTTTATGATTGGACCTCAGGAATATTTTGCTTTTAATATTCTCGCATCAAGAAAGGACCTCTTATAAGGAGCTGATTGAAAATTCGTATAATAGGGTGTAAAGTAAGGATTTAGGAGTGCAAATCTTAGGAATTAATCACGTTTCGTTGTCGTGTTCTAGAATTATTCTTCTAATCGGCAAGGGAATAACGGTGGAAATGGCGGGAACAGGGGTGGAGGGTGGAGACGGTAGATCCACTTTTTCCATGGATCAATGCCATCACAGGTTTTGGGTATTTTTAAGTTAGGCTTAGGAAAGATTCGTGTTTTCAGTTTTGAAACTGTGAAACTTGTTTTATTGGAAACAAATACTGTTTTCTTTATTTCTATATCTATCTCGTTTAGATATCTGCGAACGCGTCATTCCAGCAGATTTATTTTTCTCCACGCGTTCACGTAGAGATTCACAGAATTTAAGCTGACGATTAATGCATATAAATTCTTCTTGTATTGTCGAATTGGATATATGATACATGCATAATACGACCTGTGATGGTTTAATTAAGAAATTTAATTTTCTATGAACTTATAAGAAAGAAAATTTGTACAACAAAACATCGAGTAATTATTGAAGTGCAATTGGTCGATGGGAATTCGTTTGAAACAATTATACTTTAATTTTCCTCGATGTGAATATTGAATTGATCTCAGAATTGATCAATTGTACATTGTACATTTTTAGCGCGTAATTAATTTGCAATTCGATTGCTGATCGCAATATATGAAAGAATTAATTATTTAGTTGGTCAAAACTTGTTTCCCGACACTGTCGGTGTACAAAAATGGATACGCATTCTGTTCATTACGAGTATACTTCAATCTATCTCGTAAACATTTTTGTATTTTACGCACTTGGAAAAAAAAATATATGGACGTATACGTGAGTTATTTGGTACGATACCCCCTTCGTTCCACGATTTCATAATCCTTCCTCTACATTTCGGCAGTAAGTACAAGTAGTTTTACACGCACGGTAGAAAATTTGCTTAAGTGCGAGGCATGTTTGTAACGAACGATGCGTAGTAACTTATAACTATAATATCAGGGTTGAAACTAGGCGGTCTGGATACATCTGGTACCGGTCGAGCAGAGCGGGCGAGCATTGAACGAACGAGTACCACTTGAGAAAACAATAGCGAGCAACGCTCTTCTCTCTCTTTGTCTTTCTCTCTCTCTCGCTTTTCTCTTTCTCTTTGCCTTTTCTATCGTCACTCTAAAATCTGGAACCTATATGTCACATATATGTCATAGAAAATCGGAGACGTTCAATCCCTTTAGTCGGGCAAACGCGGAATCGATGAGATCTTAGCTCACGTTCCGATATCGAAGTCTAGTTCCTTTTTGTAAAGTAAAATAATGTTTGCGTGGTGTGTACACGGGAAGACGGGTGATAAAAATCGGCGCCATTGTGTCCTGCAATTCTGCACGGCCTATTTAATTCGCATTGCCCGCATAAAATCGTAGCCAAGCCGATACTTCCGATAGCCCGCATGCACGAACGTGAACTACCCCTTCCGTGGCCGGCGTCTCACACCATATTTAGTTTCGTGGTTCGATCCTTTCTTTTAACGGACGACGGGAATCTTTAGAAAAGTTGCACGCCACTTTCTCCTACGAAAACTTTCAAGAATTTCGCATACGTGTTCTACTGCGTGCGTACGAGATCTCGCGATGGACGATCGAGGAGCGTTGTGCGTGCCTCTCATACTCTCCGTACCGCACTCCTTCCTCTGAAGCACGCGGCGTTATCTCGGCTTCCTTGTTGTCCCTTTGATGAAATAAAGCACTATCCGCGGCGAGATCTACCCCACGTTAGTAGTTGCGGTTCTCCTACGTTCCACCCCTCTCTGTTTCTCCTTGCCCCCAACCCTCTCTCTTTCTCTCCCCCTCTCTCTCTCTCTCTCTCTTTTTATTCTCGAGTTCTCTCGACGATGCAGGACACAATGCGGCCCTTACATCTTCATCGAGTACGAGTCGTCGCTTGCGTGTAATGCGTTTCGCTCCACGCTTTCTATATACGCGACCCCGACCATTTCCTACCACCTATCACGGATCACTCTCGGACAGCATTCCCTCGCTTTTCGCTTTGCTCGCAAACGAAACTGTAAGTCCGTTTGTATAAGCGTTTAACAATCTTTTTTTACAAATTGTCGGGAACTCGAACTCTTCGAGTTTTGCTTTTTATTTTTTGTTGAAAAACCGAAGCTCGTGAAGGCGGCGTAGGACGCGTTTGCGTCGGCGGATTCCGGCGGTACACGCGTACAGGAAGAGAGGGACTGCAACAACAACAAAAAGGAAAGAGGAAAAGGAAGATGGGAACGAAAAAGAGAGAAGGAAGAAACTTTGGTGCACGTAACTGGAGGCAGTCCGTTGGGTGGTTGAATCGTGGAGTGGAAGGCAGTGAGAGCCCTTGTACGCCCATGGAGAAGAAGGTCCAGGTGCGCCCTCACCTCACGCGACTCTGCTCCACGGCACATCCGAGTTCTCTTCTCTCCCTTCTCTCTTTCTTCCCTCCGTTCTTTGTTTTTCTCTTTGCTTCTTCTCCGCCATTCTTCCACCTTTCTTTCCTGTACCGTCTCTTACGCACCGTCATGGTACGCAACGCGAAAACGTAACCAGCGTCGAACGCGCGCACGTATATGTATATAGATGTATATGTGTACACGTCGCTACTTAAACGCGTACGCGTACACTCGTACATGGTTGCAGGCACCTAAAGGTAAAGAATAGGGCCTGAAGTACCGGCGTGCAAAATGGATGGCGGATGTAAATGCCAAGTAGCCAAGTAGTGTACGCCATTCTTTCTCGCTCTCGCTTAGACTCGCGCGATTCGCCTAACCCCGTCCCTCGTCCTATTCGCGGCCGCGTTGCCTTCTCTCTCGTTCCGTGCCGCCTGCGTTTGATAAGTACCCACCGGAGTACTTACATACGTATCGGCCGAGTGTCTACGCTCGTTTGTGCGGCGCGAAACCACGCGGAAAGATCAAGCAGCTGCGGATAAATTTTTGCCGCGGCAACTAACGGAAGTTGAACTCGAGGACGATCAAATAATCCTGGACCCGCGGTGGTTCGTTTAATTAGCGCAATACAAATTGTATCTCGATTCTGGGAAGGAACAGGAGGATCGTACGTGGGTGGTCGGTTTGACATTGACATTTGAAGTCGGAGGGAAGGCGGTGGTTGCAAAGCTCGTTACGGTGGAGACGGGCTCAGACACCGGGATGACGCAGCAGCGGCTCCTGGTTACCTCCGGCCCATTGTTCTCCCCGCATTTCTTCTCAGCTCGTGCTCAAGTGCTCGATCGCTACCCTCCCTCGGTGCCCGGATCCCCCCGGGTTTCGTGCTTTTAGCCCTGCGCCGCGAACGTCCTTCGTGCCTAAACGAAATCGCAATTTTACCTCGTAAACTACGTTTCATCGCGATAGCTCCATTGAAACTTGACGACGGTTTACGTTTGAAGCGGTACTCGAATCACGATCGAGTTAGCATTTGGATTAAGAAAGTTCGCCGCGGCTATGATGTCGCAAAGAACCGCTCGGCGTTTTGTGAGTAAGTTAGTCGGGAGTGAGCAGTCGGACGGATGCATAGGGAGAAGAGGAAGGTGACGAGATGCGGCCCCCCGCGAGGTTTCCCGCGCGGGGCACCCGCCCGTCGATAATGTTCCTAAGCATTTACCGACAAGGGGTTCCACCTGCGTGCCAGTTTCGATTCCGTGGTTGACCTGACCCCCCATGCGAGAACCGGGCCCCCCTAGCTCGCGACTCCTTGACTCGGGTGTCCAGTCTCGCGGAAATAACGATACGCTCGCACGGAAAAAGCGTCACCCTCTCGTGGGGTGCGATAGTCGAGGCTCGTTCGTACTTTCGACGTTCGCTCGCCGCTGGTGGCCTCGCCGTGTGTGGGAACCTTGGATCTCTCTCGCGATTTTTCTTGGCCGCCACGGCGCGGCGGAGCCTCTCGAGAGTTCACCGAGCATTGCCGATAGGCATATGCGTGCCTCTCGGGCAACGTGCGCGCTGGCATAATTTTTACAAAAGCGTTGCCCGTGCACCCCGTGTGCTACCTTCTGCTCGATAAACAATATACCATCGTGTACGCGCCAACGGGCCGACGAGTGGCCCTCCCAGCCTCCCGGTACAATGCCATCTTATGACATTTTCGAGTTCGACCGTTGTTGTCGACCGCTTTAAGTGCTCGTTATACACGCCGCGTCAAGCTTTTGTGTCGCAGCAACTGTTTTTTCGGGCGTCTCGCCGGTTAACTCTCTGTGTCCGGGGAGCCCCGCTTCTGTTCCGTTCCGTTCCATAGAATACACAATTAATAACGGACTCGAACCTTCCACTAACGAACGTCCCATCACCCTCGAAACGAGACCGAATCTTTCCGCGGCCGAGGTCTCGGATTCTAATTTATCATCAATCACTAGAAAGTACCGAGCAGTAGCAGATTATATTTTAAGTAAATCGCGTTCGAGTCGAAGAAGTTCGTAGTACTATGCATGTGGTAAAAACGCGTTCAACCCTCGTAAGTTCCTAACTCGTTTCTTCTCTCTCAAGGCGGAAGAAAAGAAGTCTCGGTCAGTAGGTAGGAAGCTGTCGCGGGAAAGCGTTTTCCGTAGTCCCGATGCGATATGCTTCTGGAGGTCAAGCTCGCCCACGCACCTTCAGAGGCGTATCCGTGGGGCGTGTTCCGGGAACGGTAGGGTCGAACGGAGGCGGAGTCGCTTCCCCACCGGTTTCGAACCGTGATTTTTGCTCCCTTGCTCTCCGGCACGAACACGATTAAAATTGCTCCTCTACGTACACGGAAAATCGTCTGTGCGAGTTATGCCGTGTCGTCGCAAGCTCGGACGCGAGGCGCAGACAGTGGAGTAAGTAGAGTCTCCTCCGGCCGATCGCCGCGCCGGCTAAACGATTTCTTATGCCGCGGCATTGAACGCTGACCATCCGGCTGGACCACGGGTATACGTATTTTCTTTACCGTCGTCTTTCGAAAGATTCCTTCCGCGAGTGCATCGAGCTTTCTGTGACGAGGCGGCATAATCTTTCGTCTTCGCACGTGTCGATATTTTCTTCTTTCTATTCGAAACTCGGTTCTCGACAATTAGTGCAGCATCGTCATTATTATTATATGAAAGTTGATGACGAGGAAGGATTTAATAACGCAGGGGGACGTCGGGGGTACATCTTAGGTATCGCGAATCGCGTGACGGGTCGCGCAAATGGCAAAGGCATTCTAGCGTAGCAATTACCTGCAGGGCGAGGGAGTCAAGTAGCAATATCTGGACCCGTTATCCAGTTCGGTTATCCCGACTGGAATGCTTTGTGTCGCCCGGCAATCTGCATTTCTACCTGTTTGAATGGAAGTCTATGAGATATTCGCGGCATGATTTCAAATGAAATCGACTCTTTGTCCCCCGGCCGGAAATTTCCAATTCAATAACGCGCCCGGGCAAACTGCAACCGGGATCGATTCCACCGATACTGTACTTGCCACCGCCAGTATTAGATAGCAGCTCCCGTCGCGGCCATTTTCACAGAATCCGATCGTCTATAACATTTTCATTAGACGTCCTACTCTATAAAAATCGCAGTCGCCGTACACCGTTTTCAAACGTTATGAATGACGAATGGCAGGTACTTATCCGGCAACCCTTTGCAATGCATTAGAATCGTTTAGCTGGGGTGGAAGGCATTAACATCCTGGCTAAGAACACCCTTGCTTCTCGCGTTCGCATCTTAGATCGAAACAGCCCCCACGTTTTCGTCCTGCCGTTATTCATGAACGTTCCTTCGCTGCTTCATGAATTTACAATCGACCGCACGAATCCGTGCAGGCGAACGCTTGCCATTCTTCGACGAGCAAACAACTCGGGCGATGGAATGACAAAATATATTTTTTTAACATCGGTACGATCCGTTGTCAGACCGTCGATAAAATAATCGCGTTGGTCGAGGTTCCCTGGACGGGGAAGATCGCAGCGGCTGATCTCTCGAGCTTTGATACATAATCGGGAATTAGGTACGGTCCGAATCCGCTAATCGTATCGAACGTCGCGGTCCGGCTAATAAGGGCTTCGTGGGGGAAGGGTGAAAACGAGAGAAGCAATAACGAGAGAAAGATAGGTTCGGCAGGGGCGCGAGGGAACGGTGCCACGTGCTGCTGTCACTGGCACAGATTATATTATATAGGAATGGCAGCGAATAGGTGTAGATATAAGCGTCGGGCGGCAGTTAATAAATATGATAATGGCGGTCGAAGCGAGAGAAAAGGGTGGGGTTGCGTGGGGTGCGATATGGGATACCAGTGTATAAGAGTGACCACCAGAAGCGGAGGCCTGTCACCGTCAGGACCTCTCGTATGTCACGCCGGGGCCACGCACCAACCGACCCACACGCGTGCGGCCAGCGTCGAGCCAGAAACGCGTGCGAGACCTCTCGCTTTTAGATTTTTCTCCGCGCAATTTTTCGGCACTCCCGGGCCGAGTATCGTTTAAGACGGAGTGTAATTCGCGAGATTTCATAATAAAAGGAAGAAAGCTTTTACCCCCTTAGGCTTTCATTAATCTCACTTCCGCGACGGAAGTCGGAAACAGTTTTCCGCCGGGCAACCTTTTCCTTTTGACCCGGTAAATTGCGCGCGTGTGCACACACACCGAATACGTGTACCTGCCGCCGCGCTCGCACCAGTACTCGCCCTCTTCTCCAGGAGCAATTAGTCACGGTGCTCTTGATAAATCGTCGGAATCCTACCCCTACGGGGTTAAGGCTGCGGACCCTCGGCAAATATCCAATAACAGCCGGCCCCCGACTCCCGGTGGTGACTCCTCTCCTCTTCTACCTGTCGGGCATTAACCTTCACCTATCGAAGAGATCGGCTTACCTTAATAATCGTCGGGGCTACACCGTCGCATCCCGCGCTCGTTCTAAGGGGGTTACGACGTTACGAGGCCAGAAACGCGAGGGTGTTTCCATGGCATTGCTCGCGAGACCGTTTGTTCCTTCGTTCCGGATCGTGAGAAACCGATTCGCGAAATCCGCAGATGTAATGAAACATTCTTAGTCCCTCCTCTCTTTGCCGTCGAACAAGTACTCGCGAACCTGTCCGATCGGACGGGACACGGTAATTAGCAGACTGCAAACTTTTTATTCCTTTCACGTCAATTAAAGAAAATCAAATCTATCGTAGATAGGGACTTTACGGAGCGTTAGAATTCTCTGCACGCGCGAAGGACGAGAAGTAGAGTCAGCTACGCGATACAAAGGAAACAATCGGGCGAGCATTCTGATGACTCGCCGAATCTTGGCGATCAGCGTCAATCCATGGCCTATTCAGGTGTACTCGTCGATCCTTTGTCCGGTCTCCCGGGGGTTAACGAGAAGGGATGGAGGAGTGAAGGGAGAGTGAACCGGATCCACCGCGCCTCGTTCTTTTGAATGAGTATCGTTTTATTAATATCTCTGTCGTTATTTACAAAACTTTGTAATAATCTCTAATTTTGTTCACCGTCACACGCTACTCGCTATTTCGTCAATCGTTATACTTTTACGTTTGTGTATGTGTATGTGTGTTTACGTGTGTTCGTGGCTGCGTGCTCGTGTAGATGTACGTGTTACATTAACGTCGATAATGCTCGAGTTCGCTAAATCGCTTACAGTTGAAAATTCACCGGGTTTCCACGAGACCGGGCCGAGTTTCCACGCGATTCTTATTCCGTGGGCGCGCGCCTAAAAACACCAGCGTATCACGCCTTATATTTACACCATCGGATTCACACCTGTGACCTCGTTATCGCACAGAACCCGCCTTTTCTCTCGCGCGACTCTTTCACACATCCGGCACCAGCATCGACACCACCTTTTCTTTTTTCTTTTTTGTTTTTCGCGGTCGACGTCGCAGTCGGGGCCGCGAAATCGATTCTCCCCGCGTCCTCCTACCCGCGAGCACCGCGTCACGATTCCGCGAGAGAATGAAAAAACTGAAGGAGAAAAGAAATACGCCGTGCGGTAATATACATCTCTCTATTTAGCTATGTACATGTACACGCGTGTCCTGAAACACGGTCGGTCGACACGGTTTCACCGTTTCCGCGGGCGACGAGAAAAAGGAATGGACGGGAACGGTGAATCCCGAGTCGAGTTCAATTGAACGAATCGTGAAACTGTAAGCCGGCGGGCGCGCGAGTACCGCGCGCCACGCTGCTCGCTCGATTAATCCGCTTCGGATCTAAACGGTATAGTTGTGTAAGTCGTAAGTCGGGTGCCCCTTTCACGTCACCTTCGTTCATCGCCCTCTTTTCGAATCCGGCCACGGTTTTAAAGAGTACACCGAGTTCGCTCGATTCGTGCTCGCGACTACCCTATACTGGCAGTCGATTGGTCGACGTCCCGCTGATTTTCACCAAAGAATAGATTCCGTTTCCTTTGAATCCGAAGACGAAATCGGCGGAAATCGTAAAGTGTAATGTTTCCCTGACTTCCCTCGGACGCGGTAAAAATCAAATCGTTGATTGAAAATTTAGCTGCGCGCCAATCTACTTTGACAGTTTCGTTGAAACAAAAGTTAGCAACCGGCAATTCGAGTCCCCTTCGATTATACGTACATAGTACATACCGTGTACCGCGCATTTGTTGCACTGTGTTGCAAGTTGGACAGTGTCGCGAATGAGAGTCTCCGGTGTCACACGCAGCGCGGGCGGCCGGTGTACGGTTTCTCGAAATTGGAATCGACACGCGACACGAGTACGAGCGCAATCCGTTGCACTGCGAGTGCAACAAGATTTGTTACCTTCGACCCGTTCCGGCATTGCTTGCGCGATTGAAATATTTCAAACGGACTTATTCCTTTGTACGGAGAAATTAACGAGATTCGAATTGAGAAAGCGTCGAGTCAGGGTTTCGTCCTTGTTTTGCTAGCCTAGTGTGCTTCACAAGCGTCGTGGCATCAGTCGCTTCATAAAATCCTCATTTCCAGTCATGCGATCGTCTCACAGGAATTTCAATGAAATTCAGTCACCTCGAATTTTGTCGGATGTAAGTACTTCGAGACTGGTCCAAATGCACGAGCAATATTCGAACCCTTCTTCTCCGATAATAGAGAGCGAGCACTAATTTTAAATTAGCTGCGGTCCACGCAGCGTCTCCCTTTAGCAAATAGAAACAACCAGTCCACCTTCGCGGTAATGTTTCCGTTTAAAACGTATCCGCGGTGTCACCGAGTCTCTATTAATCCAGCATCCGTGGTAATTATTCGTCACCAGGGTAAGACAGTGTCCTCCGTTCCTCGATTTCGTGGTTTCCATTTGACCCGTTCGTCACCAGGGAAAGATGCTTCCTCCTGGCTCGAGTTCCATAGATCTGAACCGCGAGTATTGCGAGTAATTGTTCGGAGTACTCTAAAGGCTGTCTTCCGTGGGGTACCAGGCGGCTGGACCTGCGACGGAGGGGTTGACCCCCGCCGCGGATGGCATGTACTACCAGGTCCGACCCTGGAACGGCAGGTACGCGCCGCATTGCGGTTGCTGTTGCTGCTGCATGCTCTGCTGTCCGCCGGTCCTGGAGTACGAACAATGCTGGAGGCTCTGGCTGGACGTCATCACGTGGCCGACGCCGACCACCGAGTGATGGGAGACCGAGGAGGCCGCGTGATGAGATCCGTGAGGACTCGAGGCTGTCGTCATATGAGGGGCTGGACTCGCCAAGGCCGCGCTCGGTCCGCCGCGGCTGCCCTCGTTGCCGCCACCGCCTCCGCTTCCGCAAGGCTTTCCGTCCTTCACCAAAACGGGAACGGCCACACGTCGCGGCGAACTCGCGCTCTGCAACAGAACAAACAGATTTTTAATCTCAAATCTTACAAGACGGTCTTAGATCAAAAGGCGGAAGTGGTTCGTTCATGATTCGATCATCGATACCATCGCCTGAGAGAAACGAAAGGAACGTGTAGTCGAACCGAATACGTAGGTGCGCCTACGAAGAAGACGTGGGACGACGCGGTGGGTTCTATGTTCTCAGCAAACACGCGGGATCTCTCGGTATAGAAACAGGTACATACTTAACCCGCGCGATACCTCGTGATCAACGTACTCGTACTCCAAGCTGAAGATTCTCTCTCTCCCTCTCTCCCTCTCTCTCTCTCTCTCTCTCTCTCTCTCTCTCTCCCTTCTCTTTCATTACGAATAAACAGTGCCGCGGTGGCTACCGTGGACCACAGGCTTCGTCTCTATACCGCGTCAACACGGAGAACTACCGTCCCTCGGCACCCCGCGTTTCTGCTCGACGAGGATTCGGTACGAGACCCCACGGTATGCCAAACAGAAGCCGAAGCAAGCCAGCCGAGTACCTGCCGGGACGACCACTCAGCTGTATCAACATTCGGTACACGACATTCCTCTTCGATCTCCCCGCTGCGCCTCGCCGGCGAGCCTTCAATAATACGCGATCGCGGTCCAACTCGAACGCCCGTCTCTTCCTTGCTGGATCATTTTTCCGTTCCCAGTTAGAACCGCCGATGTACCGCATCGATCGATAAGGAAACGTGTAATCCAGCCCTGTCCAAACGCGATCGCTACGTTTAGGAATCGTTTAGGGTAAGGTATAATTGGAAAGAACAAAGAAGGATTCGATTCGATTGGAGTGGACGAACTTAGCGTACGCGTCGTACGTAAGTGCAGGCATGCCGTGCACTTCACGCTGACAAAGTGACGATTACGTTAAACGCATGACGGTCGGCGCGCGCGTCGAACGTCACGCGTCACGCCACTTTAGCCACTTGGACGAGCGTTAAGCGATTTCCGGCGAAAATGGCCGTGCTTAGGAACGGAGTAGTACGTGTTTATGAACAGGCGACCACGCACAACGAGCCCCGATATTACCCCGTGATCGGCCGGCCGCGATTGGATTCCCGGGAACCGTATTACACGCCTAGATCCTCCACTCTTCGAGGAACCCGGTCCCCCTTTCACGGAACACCGTCGCGGAAGCTTTCGTTTTTCGTTCGTAATAGAAAATTAGTTTAAAGAAGAAGGAGGAACGACGTTTGAAAGGCGCGTTTAATTCCTTTAATACGTGGCGCGCGAGAAACGAGGGCACAGAGGTATTTGCGAAATAAATTGTACTTGAAACGCCGTCGCGGCCGATGTTCATCTCGCTCGCGCAAACCGGAAGCGAAGCGTCGGATCTATCTAAATGCGTCGCGGCGCGGCGTGGCACGGAGTATCCACGCGAATGCGTCTCTCTCGTCGGAGAAAACACTCGTCATCGTCGGAACTGATATAATTAACTAAAAGCTGCGCGCTTTTCTTTTTTTTTTTCTTCTCTCGCTCGTCCTCCTCCTCCTCCTCCTCCTCCTTCAGCTCCCACCATCGCCGTCACCGTCCAGCCCGACGGTCGCCCGCGTCTGGCTTCTTTACAGAAGCCTCGGCAGAACAAAGAACCACCCAGGAGAAGATATTAAAAGATTTCTACCGGGACCTCTCGTTTCCGCGGCGAATGGAATTCAATGGGTTCCGTAAGCGAGGAAGTGGTTTTTAAATCTAATAAACGATGTTTTACCGCGGATGTAATTACATTAGGCGGTCTCTCGATAACCGCCAAACAGCTTCGCGCCCTCTCCTGCAACCCGATCGTTTCAAAAGCGTGAGCAACTCGGATTTTCTCGATTCCTGCCGGAGTTTCATCGTCGTCCGGCATCCTTCGTTAAATGATCACCAGGTCGTGAGAAGACATTAGAAGACAGTTAATCGTGATTGCAACTCGCGTTCGAAGGATCGCGAGAGTCGAGGGGTGGATTAATCGATACCAATGGTAGTGGTAGGTATTGGTAACCCCGATTCGCGTCCAGGTGCTGTGCATGACTGTACTCTCGGCAAGATGGCGACCGGTCCTCGAGAGCACCCGTTTCCGAGCTCCCCTGCAGGATACCTCTCTCCCTCGCCCCCTTTCTCTCTCTCTCTCTCTCTCTCTCTTTCTCCTACGAGCCCGTTCTCCCTGCCCCCTCGTCTTTTTCTTTCCCCTTCCTTTCCTTTTCCCGTGTTCGCTCGCTCGCGCTGCCACTTGAAATTTTTTCACCGCCGCGCCGCGAGGGGAGGAAATGGAATAAAACGAAAGAAAGGGAAAAAAGCGGGGAAAAAATCGGGGCTCTGGCTGGTAACCCGTCGACGACGACGACGACGCGATGACGTTCGCGTCGAGCCATCTACGTCGCGGGAAATCGTTACACATCTATTAGCCATCGTCGCCCGTGAAACCGTTTCATTCGATTAGTTTCGAGTACCTCGGAAACGGCCTTTATCGGGAATTAATAGAATCCGAATCGCATCCGAGTCCTGCGACTGCTGCCACGCCCGCTGCGCAATTACACGTACCGTCGAGCAAATCCAGATAATAGAAAACGCGTCGCGGAGGCAAACAAGTCGCGGAATTGAAACCGAAATGTTAGGTAAATGTGTCTGTACGCCGAAGAAAGCATGTTTAGGTAACCGTGGTTCGAAGGGAAAGAAAAGATGAATGGGATCGGGAAACTAAATAACGAGTAAATGATGGGGCGGCTGCTCGTCCTACCGTGGACGATCTACTGATCGGGCCATCGGATAACTATCTGCTTTCAGCGTCATTAACGTTCTATGTGTTCACGGCGATAGATCCATTGAGAGGAGTCTAAACAATTTGTTGCCGACGATCGATACGGAATAATGCAATTAATTTAAAAGATTTTATCTGAATCGCCTAGCTCGAGAACGGCTTTGAAAAAATCGCGCTTCCATCGAAATTCGATAAAGTCGAAAAACGCTATGAAAATCCGCTTACCGCGAAACGTCATTGTCCGTATCGGGCTATGCGTATCTTTCCCGAAAATGGAAAAAAAAACGGCGGAGAAAAACGAAGTGGCTTCGTACGAAATTTCGAACGGTAATAAACGTTTGATCTGCTCAGAATTCTGGCAAAGCGTGAACTCGCCGATTTGCTGGTGACACGCGTCGGATGCTGGGACGTCCGTGATCCCGCATATGTATATGTATGCATATGTACACTCGTCGTAATGTATTCACCGGGACAAATCTGCGTGTATCGGGACGATCTGACGTCTCCTTTGAATGTTATTCTTCCAGAAGGAGAGGCCGCGATTCGTATTCGGCAATGCGTGCGGCGACGAGATCTAGACAGGGCACGTTTCTCACTCGCAATTACGATATCTCGGGAATCTGCCGTGTCGTTATTAGAGCCGATGGAACGGGAGGCCTGGGACCGAGTAAAATCTCGACGCCGTCTTCGCGGATTCTGGATAGTAATCGTTATTATCTCGAATCCTTTTGATTCCTCGACGTCGACGAGTCCCGTCGGGACAGGAAAAAAACGTGAAAAGGAGACAAAACGGGAAGGGGATTAAAAAAAAAATGTTACAGGTAGCAACCAGTCGGTGGTAATTACGCGCTCTAACGGAGGCGATTTTTACGTTCCGCGGAGAGGCGTGCCCGGGTAGGCAAAAATTTCGGCCGGTGTATAACGAAATGAATGCAGAATCGCTTCGAGCCGGTCGAGTGGCCCACTCGAAACGAAACGAAACGAAATACGATGTGGATCCCGCGTCGCGCGAGCGCCGGGAATATTTTTCATTTAAAAGCATTTCATTTCGAAACGCTCGATATTTTGTTGTGTGTCTCGCCGTTTCGAAATCCCTCGGTAAATCCGATCTATCGAGGACGCGTACCTACTATTATCACGCGAGATACGGCCGACCGTCGCCCGTCCGCACGAGAATTTAATTTAATCCCTCTCCCCTCCGGCCGCTCCTTACCACGTTCTACTTTCTACTAATAATATAATATTTTTCATTTCCCCGTTCAACTGTATTTTAATTACCTGGTTCTGAGCGTTTTGTTCGGCCATAGCTTTCTCCTTCGCCTGCCTCTTGCACTTGTAACGGTGATTTTGAAACCATATTTTCACCTGCAACGCAAAACAAAAATTGTCTTCCATTAGAGGGAAGTCTTCAGATTCATACAATAATTCGATCGCAAACTGAATTTCGGTTCATATCGAATTTTCCCTGCACCCGAATAGTCTCACAATTTTCGGAACGCGAACTGTCGTCAGGTAGAAACTCAAATATTTTTATAAGGGGGTCACAGCGCTGGTCTTTTGTCGCGAGTCTGCGTTTTAACTGTGAAGATTCCTAAATCTGTAAATCCTCTACTTATACAAAGACGTAATCCTTAGCTATTCTCCTCGCTTCTTGAGAAATTCTTAACTAATTCTATATTAATATAAAGTTTAATGTTTCAACGTAGCGTTACATTTGTTAAGTCTGTATAAATAAGCTCCGTCGCTTTGTAATTTGTAGAAATATCCCGGAAGCTGGAACTCCTGCGGGCAGGTCGGTAGAAGCGGAAGTCGAATTTGTCTCGTGGACGAAGACGATGAAAAGGAAAATATGATTCTGTGAGGTGTTCCGGTAGCGGTTGAAACGTACGTTCGGTGGCCCGTTTTCGAAACCGCTTTTACGGCAATTGAACGCGATTAGGGAAGCCAGCCGTGAGCGGACGGGATCGAGAGATCGGCATCTGCTTATGACAGCGCCGCGTTATAATCCGGTATTGTGCATTATGCTTCTCGGAGGGGTCCCGATCATCGCGCGCATTGTCGTCGAACCGCGAAACAATGCCTACTGTCGGCCGATTTAATCCTTAACGCGACCAAGATAACGCCTTCGCGCCGCAACAACCCACTATCCAGAGATCTCGTGAAAACCGTGTATACACGAAAGGAAGATCGCGATAGTTAGAAAATCACGAGCTGAACTCCAACTCCAGAAAATGAACGTTTAAATACGCAAGGGAGATTTCGAAAGAGAGAGAGAAAGGTTCGTGGAAAAAGGGAAATAATACAAACGGGCAAATTAGAGACATGTGTGAAAGGTAAGCCCGATTTTTATCGCTCGAATCAAAAGCGACCTATATGTTGCGTTGGCTGTAACCTCCTTCTCGAGTGGCTGTAACCCGCTGCCAGATCCCCCTGCGCGTAACCCCCATTGTCGGTGTTACGCGTCGCGTAGAATGCAACGAAAGCACTTTAAGGGGCCCCGTGCAACGGACCGTGTCTCGAGGGCCTGCCACCGTCTGTCCGATTCTAATTCTTTGAATATTAGCGGGATCGGGCCACCCTCGAAAATTCCTCGTCCTCACCGATTCTCTCGCACGCGGTACGATCGCGGACATCGTTTATCAATTATTCATTATTTATTCCATTACGCGTTTCCCGGAACGACGATCGACGTTCGAGCCTGTCATATTCCACTTCTATTCGAGGAAACGAGCAAGAATAAACAGCAGAATGAATAGGTACATATGAGTCGCAGCGATCATACGTTCTTGCAAGTGTTTGCTGTATTTTTACGGCGCGCAATGACTAAAATTAGCTGCCGATGATATTCCAGGCGTTTTAAATGTTCAGATTTTCTATTGCAAATTCCGATGCGAGACCTCGCGAAACGTATGACGATTATGCGCGAACTCCGGGTGGGAAGGGGTCGGAGGTCGGCTCGAATCGGTGAGCCCTTACTCGCCACGTTTCCGCGTATGTTTTGTACCACGTCTGATGCGTAGGGCTGAGAGACCTTATCTAACAGCCGCGAAGAGCCACTAGACCGAGGGAAGTACTCTCTCGTCGCTCCCGTTCGTTAATTCCTTTTCCATCGATAATCCACTCGTTGTCGGCTTCGGTAGGAGTTTCGGGTGTGCGGCGACTTGGAGAGGTCTACAAACAGCCTTGCCTCGCGTTCGCGTTCGCGTTTTCTCGCTTGGCTTCCGCGCGTCGCCCGTTTTCCGCTTTGTCCTTTAAACCGAAAGGACAGACGCGATTGAAAAACTGCTTCTCTTTTATCTCCGTTTGTTCATTTCGGATCTCCTTCACCCGATTTATCGAGCTACAGTATTTGTTTTCTCTCTCTCTCTCGTCCTTCGCATTTTTCAGTCTACCAATATTTAACGCGTAAACGGAATCGCAACGAGGCTGTATCGGTCCGTGAACGCGGAGAGCGAGACAGGTAGCGAGGATGAAAACGATTCGACGAGAGCAAGACGGCGTTGGGGAGGAATGTTATTTCAAGGGAACGGCCTGTCCGTCAGTTCCGTTTGTCCGTAGCTCCCGCAACGAGCCGGTGCGTAAATAGAGAAAGTTGAACGAGATAGGGCAGGGGTATAACCGGCGTGTGTACTCACGCGAACCGTCGACAAAATAAATTCGATGCCGACGCCGATTTCCAACTTTCACCGCGTAGAAACTCAATCTGCGAATGACTTAACCCCGTCTCTTTATGTGTGTGATTGGAGTTCTGATGGCCGATATACGAGCTTGTCGAAAGACTTGGATTTCGAGGTGATGGCTGATACCAACAAAGAAATTCGATTAAAAATGATTTATTCCACACATGTTGTCACGTGGTCTCGTCCGAATTACAATTTTTGGTGATGGCAGAGTTAACAGTAATAATTGAGATCACGAAATGACAAACTTCTGGAGTTGAAGGACGAGGAAAACTTTGGAAAAGTCTACATCGGCCTGTTCGGATTAACGGTTGCAAAACGACGTTTTCCCGAATTCGTGCGATTGGTCGGAAGATTTCTGAATTTCGGAAAAGATGATCCATCAATTAGTTCCTAGCACGAAACAGGATATTAATAGAAGACACGGATAAAGACCCTCGCAGGAGTCTCTAACATCACTTAATTTAATTGAAATCTCCTTATTCTAATTATGAGTTAAGTCGTCGATTTCCAATCACTTTAGTACAGAACTCGTAAATGAATCGACGAGTTTCACTGTGCATAAAAAATGTTCTCAAAGACTAATCCGCTACCGCCCCAAGTTTTCGAGAATAGCCTGTTTGCCTTGAACGGTGCTCGTGCAAAAAGGCATCGGGGCCCGCGGGGGTCCGCACGGAGTTTGCTCAACACCGTGAAAGGGGGAGCTTAGCTTTAACTTCCGATTAACTCGCGGTTAACTCTCGTTCAACCAGGTAAATGAAACGCCTCCCGTGACCGCCGAAGCGGATCTATACGCTTTTCTTCTCCGGCGTTAAACGTCAGAGACCCGTCGACGCGCGTTCCTCGGGACTAATTGAGCTTTCTCACGGGTGATTTGCGTCTAGCCCAATATTTACTTTCAAATCATTTTCTAAATTGTCACTTAAATAAGTACGTACAGTTTTCTCTTACCGAAGCTGAGAGAATCTGAATTGAATACCGACCAAGCCAGCCACGCGACCACGGCGCCATTCGTCTCCGTCTTTGACGTTAATTAGTGTACGATGTCGAATAGGGATAAATCGCGGGTAGGGCAATCGATCAAAGCGACGCTTGGGAGGAGCATCGAGCACCTGTTTGGCTTATGCTCGACCCGAGTTCGTACATCCGTTCGAGTATGATCCTAGCAACTATAGTATATGCCTGGTTAAAGTGGACGATTGATCGAGTTAGCGTAACGTCGTTACGTGGCGTGCAACGAGGGTTCACGCAAAATCAGCGTCGCGGGACCCACCCTTCGCAGCTCGATCGTTTTCCTTCGGGCAATTTCATCCGGCATCAACTTTCGACGGATTATCCGTTGCCTGGCCTCGGGCTCGGCGCGTCGCCTCAAAGAAAGACGCGTGTAATTGACGAGAATTGCCACTCGGGGTGTTTCGAACGCATCCGCTCTCGCCTTTCCTGTTTATTCCGACCTATTGTTCTTAGGGGAGGATGTTGCCGTTTCTCTCCCTTTCTCTTCTATCTCCGTTCGCTGGAAAGCTCCTGCGTCCTTTCCGTTTCTATTATTTTTACACAAAAATCTGTCGTGGCGGAGCGAACGTCGAGTGAAACGAGCAAGCGGAAGGTAAAGACGAGATGATTTCGAATCTCCATTCAGCGATTTTCAATTATTTGTAGAAAGAGTCGGGGAAAAATCGCGGGATGCATTTAGAGCTTTGGGGGACCGCAACGATGAACTCGCGTGTAACCGAGGATCAGGCAACGTCAAATTATGATTAGGGCTGTTAATTGTCCCGTGTTGACCCTCCTGAGTGGTGGCCCGTGGGCAAACACGATTCCCGTCTCCCTTTTGTTGTTTTAACTTAATACCATTCGGCCGGGGATGACTTACCGATTACCAGTCGGCATGTCTGAGAACCTAGGGTCTTTCAAATGACTTTCCAGTTTCCTCTTAACGAGCCAATCGACTCATTCGCACGCCAGATGCCAACAGACGATCGTTTCTCTGTTTTCGATGACACGTTTAATCGTGACACGTCTAAACTTTGAATCGAGAATCACTCGACCAGTCTTTTTCAACCTCCTGATCGCGTTTTTCCCCTAATTTTTTCGTCGCTTCGCGGATGATCCAATAGCCGGGGACCCGGATGTTTGCGGTTGGAAATGTATGCACCCTCGCGACGACGTGCAGCGCGGGGATCATAAAGAGCAAGCGCGGGTCCGCGCTACAGGCTGCGCCATAAAAAGAAATTGGTAGCGTATTACGCGACCGTGGCGCGAGCTCGAGTGTATTTACAATACACTCGTAAAGCTGCACTCCTCCTCGCGATAATTGACGCAAACACGATGAAAAACTCATGAGACGACGACGCGGCCAGCGCTGCGCGGAACAATCGGTGCCGATTAGTTCGAAACCGGAGGGAAGGAAAAGTGAGATGCTTAGTTAGAAACGAATAATCGATGCGCCGTTTATGCAAAGTTTTTATCGCAATCGGAACGCGAAAGTGGAACGCGGGGGTGGAAACCGAGCATAGAAGTATGCACGTTAATGGCTGTGTTACAATGTAATCTCTTCGAGCTCGAAACTTTTACCGAGAGACCTTTGAGAAACGTATCGCCCCGTCGAGTGTCACTCGAAAGATTGAAAGAGCAAGCAGTCGGAATTCTGCCGCACCTAATTGCGAGCCAAACGCCGCTGGCAGA